CGATTACTCGTAGTACGGGGTCTCGCTGCTCTTGGTCTGGCTGCTCCCCTTTGGCCTTGCTGGCATGGTTGCACCTTGTGGAACGAAGTTCCAGCCAGTGTAGCCCGCGGGATCGCTGCAGCACTCAAGCCCGACCACCACGTCAAGGTGGCAGCTTTAGGATCCCGTTCAAATCACTTTTGATACTTTTTATGCGTTCCCTCGCTGTCAAGCCTATTGCGGTATGAAATCGTAAATTGGAAAAACCGTGGAAAATGGATCATGTTTATCAATCCGTAAATTCGTGAGGGTAAAACCGGTGGTAGTGTCCATTCAAAAAGGAACCCACATTGAGTACGGTACTCACAATCAGATCAGCTTGCCTCAACTCTCAGCCAGACTCTCCTAAGTTATCCCGTCGTTTCCCGTGCGCTCTTCCTCCATGAAAAATAAGGTCATCTCTTTGGACACGCAGTCACTAAACACCCCATTTGCAGCCCAAGGAGAGACACTGGAAGTTGTCGAGCATTTTACGTACTTTGGAAGTCGTATTAATGCGAATTGTAGTGTGTCAGATGAGGTCAGTGCGCGAATTTGTAAGGCTGGGACCACGTTTGGTAATTTGAGACACCTATGGCAACAAAGCGACATATCTCTAAATTTCGAGAGATGCGTATCAAGCTGCAGTATGGGCTGTTTCTTTGTATGGCCGTAAGACGTGGACTCATTGGGAACTGAAATAGGCCTTCAGGCTTTTGACAACCGTAGCTCATGTAGGTTAGTATCGGCGAATCGCGATAAAGCAATTAGAAAACGAGTGTTCGGTTGTATGACGGGGACTTCTATCAAAGAAAATGTATGGCACCAACGGCTGCGGTGGTTAGACCATTTATTACGCGCACCGAATCATAGTTTGCTGAAACGAGTGCCGTTCTCCTTGCCAAATTCAAAGTGGCGCAAGTAGTGGTCAAACTTTGACTTGGCACAGGAGTGGAAGAAATTTCAGGATGGGCACCGCATGATCCCAGCTACCTGGTTGTAGACGCTGCAAGATGTAGTTGCCACTTGATGTCAGGGGCGTTCTTGTTATCGATCTCCATGTGGATTGTCTGAATGAGTATCTGGAGGTTTAGGTAGCTCGCAATGATTATGGTGGGCTAGCTAAGTCCCTTCCTTGTTCACTTTTACTCTTCACGATAAGGCTTTCATATAAACTGTATCCGTCCGGCCGCTAATTAGTGGTTTTGAATACTGATGTCATGCTATCGGGGATAATGATGGGTTTAGGCCTTGGTGAACCTGTTGTATCCTCACTACTGCTTCCTACGAGAAGCTGTGCACCACAGGGGTGCCACAACCAAAAGATTCGCTTCGGTTGTGCAACAGGGACTGAGGCGGTTAGGGCACAGGACTGCTTGCCGAAAGGTCCGTGCTTCATTCCCAACTCCTGCTCTTTGATCGCTCCTGTCTCGTATATTTCTTTTTGGTGGCGTGACAGCTATTCCCCAGGAGGGTACTGAACACGACGGTTGTGTAATAGCTTAGTGTCGGTGGTCAGTTTTTGCTAGAAATTTTCCAACAGAAGGTGGGTGCGATATCTGTGCGCTTGTCTTTTGCCGCGACATACATTGCCCTTATAGGAAGTTCGACGTTGGCATCCCATACAAGTCATTTGCTCGAGGATAGACTTCTGAACATAGGCCTGTAGCAGGAAAATTCGTGTCTCCAATGTGTTTCAGCTTGTAATCCACTAGTTAGACCATTCATTCAGACGTTTTCCCGTGCGACACAGCATCTCGTTCCAATAACACTTGCTTCACGTAGATTAATGCCTTACTCCTGCTCCTTTCTGTCCCAGCCTTTTCGTTCCATTTGACGAGCTGCCTAGCATCATGTCTACGGACGGGTTTTCAGACCATGACGACACGGATTTCATAAGCCAGTTTCAGGCTATGGCAAAAAATCTTACTTCAGGTATTTTGGTTTGTGACTCACTCTCGTCTCTAGAGAATTTTTCTGGTTACCCTGAGACCGCGACCGATAACAGTGAAATGAACAACACATCTGATCAACCAGAATGCATCAAAAAGTGGGCAATTGAATTTGAGGAACGCATTCGAATCAAAGATGGCAACGAACAGAAAAAGCTGTCACTTCTTGAAGAGCAAGGTTCGAAGGTGGGTATGAATTGGTGTTTTGGCCAAATGTTCGACGTTCTCACTATCGGTTCCGGCCTTGTGTGCTCCACAGTGCTATTTTTTTCTAAGCAGGGGGGGACGTGCATAATAAGTTTCAAATCCATTAGTTACACTTGCCCTTTACCTACATAACAGCCTTATTTGACAGAGTCTTGGGACAACATATACCAGGAGAAGACCAGTAACAAGAAACTGGCTTCTCTTCTAGTTCTCAGGCACACTAGGTCGCATTAACCAATTTTCTAATGGACTGAGATGGTTCATGGTATAGTCCAGAAGGTCCATTATGCGAAACAGAATTTTTCCGGCAGCATTGACACGGTGTTCGTTGGACGAGCAGACTTTGGTTTTCCGCTCTTGAGGGAGATCTTGAAGCAAGCAATTTTATAAAAATGGGGACATAACTGTGACAATATTCCGGTCACCTGGTTATGAAAAACAATCCTGGTGAATGCAGACGTTACTCTTTACGCGTGGATTTTTTTGCGAATTGGGCACTTGCCCCATTATATTATATTTTCTTGCCCATGTCAGTCACTCGTTTCGCCGCAAATAAAAACAAAAAGTCGTTCGGCTGTAACACCTTTTCTGTGCTCAGCTTCCATGTCACACGACGTAGGCACGAGCGCTGAGATACTGCATTATACCCAACCCTAGACAGCAGCGATCGAGATGCAGAGGTCGGGTTTGAATCACGGACCTTCCGGCGAGTAAATTCGCACTCTACCTGCTGAGCCATCTCGTACTTGCTGCAGATAGACAGGTCCAAAGTCATTTCTAGATATGTCATCGGTGTCTCAGCAGCATTAGTCAGGTCTGATGGGAAAATCGGATTAGTAATGCTGAGGTACGCCAGATGGTCTTAGGAAGAAGGAACTCTCCCGTGATAGATGAATTACTCACGCTTCGTAGGTTACGCTGGTTAGGACACGTAATCCATATGCCAGAATACTGTCTACCTCACAGACCTTTTTACACCTAGCCTTGTGCTGAATAGAAGTGATCGAGAGGTGGACAGTGTATGTCCTGGCAATGAAGTATACGGACACTAACCAGTAAACTTAGTCGGGTGGGCAACTGCCGCCTCTCTGGATGGGGACCGCTGGACTCAAGTCACCAGTGGTTAATGACAGCGGAAATGGCCCAATCGTGCAGTCAGTGCCTTCGCCTCCAAAGTGTAGCTGTATATTCCACTTTCCCATTTTCCGTTGATGGAAACTGTGGCAGCTGAAACCAATGTGCTTATGGCACACGGTTTATAGCTGATAAATATAATTTGATTGATTGATCGCTTCTAATTATACCGTCCTTCCCTAGAATCTTACGGTCGAATTCGAGCTCTTCACAGAATGGAATTTATTCGTGAGCTGTCATACTTAAAGCCGTTGTTTAGTACTGCCCTAAATTTCTTGCGGTTATCACCAGCACAATGAAAGACGAAAACGAGATGTACAAGCCGGGGTTTTATCAGTCTAATTAAAACGGTAGAAAGGCAACCTGAATGGTAAAAGAGTATTGATCATTCAACTGGCAAAGCTTTATTCGCAGCAGTTCACCCTCTCAAAGCGACGTGTCATTTGGCTCTGACGAGGTCTTTGATTTCAGCTGCGTGTGGCGATAGTTAGTGGGATTTTTCGAAGATTGCTGCCGCGATGACGGTCTTGAGATTCACATGTTAGTGACTATATCTGGCTCTAAGTTCGAAAACTGTTTGTGGACACGCAACGAGAAATGTCACATCCTCGGATCACAACCGCGTCATCTGTCGATTGAAGCCCTACTTTAGCAAACCAAATTCATCATGTCCCTTGTCGCTTCGGCCTTGATGAATACATGGATCCTTTTTATTATTATTATTTGACGTTCTTTTACCATCCATACCCTACTACTTGCTTCTGTATATTTCTAAACTTCCTGACCAATCTCAGTCAACCTATTCCGCTCAGCTGTAGTTACACGTTGAATCTTGTGACAGCACTGTTTTGTATTGGAATTCGGGTGTTTGCTGTAAAGGAAACTACCTCCGAGTCAGTGCTGAATTCGTCTAAAAGCTGGCCATTTTTCGCCACATAGACTGGCATCAGCTGTTTACCGATAACAGCATCGTGCAGAAGCAATGAAAATCGTGATATGACCCGTCATCTTATTCATGATAATTTTTTTATAGACAGCTCATGAATAGCCTCTGTAGTATAAGATCCCCCCCCCGAGGATACAGCTTTATACAGCATACATAACGTTGCTGGAAGCTCTCTGACAACTTACGACTGGCTTCACCCTTCAGGCTCAAGTGGCCGCAGTTCCCCAGTTTCCATCAATTTTATGTTCTACTTGGGCCCAAATGATACGCAATTCGGGGGTACACTCATTTGCAAATCTACTTAGTCTCAATAGGTGACTCAACAAGGTACTCAGCTGGAATCCACTTGAGCCTTCTGTTAAAGCCAAATTATTTTTCAACTTAACTTATTTCGTCCTAATAATTATTTCAGGCAAAAGTGCTAAGTTTTTTTCGATTTGAAAAATGGCCTAAGGGAAAAAATAATGGAACACCGTTCGGCTGCACGGGTACTCGTGATATCACGAACTGAGCGAGGTGTTTTCGTTTGTCCTTAGTGCGCGATCAGATAGCTTCTGGTGTGGTGCCACAATTTCACTGCCATGACAATTAGTTCTTCATCTTGAATTCTCGTGCACTTTGTGGGTTTTACGAATACGATATCGATTCTGATTGGGCGCGAGAACAATAATGAATAGCGTAGAATGAATAGCGCTTTACTTGTCTAAGAATAGACGTACATAAGCTGAAAATGAAGGTGAAAGCA